TATACATACGTACCCCCAAACTACCAGATACGGAGCCAAAAACCTAATTCCACCGCCGCAACTTTCTGTATTCACGAGATCCCATCTTGGGGCCTGTTCCGGAGCTCCGCCGGAGGGGGCATCGATCACGGAAGGCTTCTACATCAACACTATAGCCCCTCCGATGAAGTGTGAGTAGTTTACCTTAGACCTACGGGTCCATAATTATTAGCTAGATGGCTTCTTCTCTCTTTTTGAATCTCAATACAAAGTTCTCCCCCTCTCTTGTGGAGATCTATTCGATGTAATCTTCTTTTGCGGTGTGTTTGTTGAGACCGATGAATTGTGGGTTTATGATCAAGTTTATCTATGAACAATACTTGAATCTTCTATGAATTCTTTTATGTATGATTGGTTATCTTTGCAAGTCTCTTAGAATTATCAGTTATGTTTGGCCTACTAGATTGTTCTTTCTTGCAATGGGAGAAGTGCTTAGTTTTGGGTTCAATCTTGGGGCGTCCTTTCCAAGTGACAATAGAGGCAGCAAGGCACGTATTATATTGTTGCCATCAAGGATAACAAGATGGGGTTTATAACATATTGCATGAGTTTATCCCTCTACATCATGTCATCTTGCTTAAAGTGTTACTCTGTTCTTATGAACTTAATATTCTAGATGCATGCTGGATAGCGGTCGATGTGTGGAGTAATAGTAGTAGATGCAGGCAGGAGTCGGTCTACTTGTCTCGGACGTGATGCCTATATATAGATCTGAGAATGGTTACATAACTCAACCATAACTAAACCATACCTGTATGTGTATCCCTCTAAACCAAACTTGAACCATAACCATTTAATATTGTTTTCAGCCCAACCAAACCCAAATCCAATATGTTTTTCACCCAAACCAGTTTAAAACTAGTACATATCCATGGGTTTAAACCCAATATAAAACCGTTTTCAACTTCAGTTGAACAGTGAAACAATACAACTTCAGTTGAACAGTGAAACAATACAACTTCAGTTGAACAGCGAGACAATACAGAAGACACTCTGCACACAGCAGGACACTCTATCAGATCTTAACTTTTTCAGAATTGAGAAGCATAATGGTATGTTCATGTTGAATATAAGATGATCTCAAACCTTAAATCGACACTAAATCTACCTGCTGCTGCATCATTTTTTTTGACACCCCAGCCCAACCGTTTGTAGCTTACAAGAAGAAGAAGAATCACTGGCTACAAAACTAGTAAAGTGCCTGGATGTTCATGTTCAAAAATAATGCAGCTTCATACTTGGCATAGAAGAGTGCTGAATCTACACTAAAAAGACATAATTAAAAGAGTTGGACTTCAGCTCACCGGAGCAGCGCGGAAGTCACCGCCTCGTGGTCGCGGAGGGGCGGACACGGAGCAGCTCTGGCGGGTGGCGGCGGTGGCTGCAGGAACGACGCTCTGCGTCGGTGAGCCACAGCCGGCAGCGACAAGTACAGGGCGGGGTGGGCGCGACCACGCCTGAGGCCCTGACTGGCAGAGGAGCAGCTGGCAAGTTTCTGCCCGCGAGGACGACATAGAGGAGCAGCCGACCGTGAGGACCAAGCAGAGGAGCAGCCGGCGGCGCCGATCAATGGAGAGGAGTAGCCGCCGCGGATGCGGGGATCCCTGCTCATGAAGGGGATGGGAGGGTCGCGGGCCTACCCGCCGGCCATCTCTCGGGCGACGGCCGCGTCTGGGAGTGCCGGCTCAGGCGATGACCGCGTCAGGGAGCGGCGCTGCGGCGGCGGCGTGCTGCGACCTAGCTCGTAGTGCGGGAGCCGGGAACAAGACGGAGATGGAGGTGGGGCTCTACTGGGCTTACTCCAGGCCGAGAACCGGTTCAGACCTATAGTTTGCACCCATATTAGACCAAACTTTTTAAACCCATAACCAACTATACCCGATTTGGTTTTTCTGTGGACCCAAACTAAACTAAACTAAGAAAAACTCAGTCCAAAAAAACCTGAACTGATCGAAACCTGAATAAGAACCAAACTATTTACCCGGTTTTTTCAAAACCGTTCTCAGATTTACCTATATACATAATCATACCTAGATATTTTCATAACTATGCTCAATTCTGTCAATTGCTCAATAGTAATTTGTTTACCCACCGTGAATACGTATGCTCTTGAGAGAAGCCACTAGTGAAACCTATGGCCCCCGGGTCTATCTTCCATCATAGTAATCTTCCAATATTTAGTTATTTCCTTTGCCTTTTATTTTATTTTGCATATTTTATTTCTCTTTATCATACAAAATACCAAAAATATCATCTTATCATATCTATTAGATCTCACTCTCGTAAGTGACCGTGTAGGGATTGACAACCCCTTATCGTGTTGGTTGCGAGGATTTATTTGTTTGTGTAGGTGGGAGGAATTCGTGCGTGGCCTCCTATTGGATTGATACCTTGGTTCTTAAAAACTGAGGGAAATACTTACGATATTCTGCTGCATCACCCTTTCCTCTTCAAGGGAAAACCAACGCAAGTGCTCAAGAGGTAGCACCCATCTGGTCCGTTTTGTATCCGAGCCGACCCATTTCGAGCGCAAACATGCGCCGGGTTTGGGTCGCGGCGGACACCAAACGAACGCGCGCCTCGTCCGCGTCGGGGCCGCGTGGCAGGCGGCCACCTACCTCCCACCCGCCCACATCAATGCGCACGCGCGGGCGGCCCCGCCTGTCATCCGTCCAGGCGAACGGTCGCGGTCCTTCTTAAATGGGAATCCATGGACCGGTCGTCATCCACACTGCCCCACTCCATCCTGCGGCCTCATCCAAACCCAACAACCCCAAACCCTAGCCTCGCCTCGAACTCGCCGGCCGGCCACCTCGCAGCCATGGGCCTATGGAACTACGGCCGGAAGGGGAAGCACGACCGCGAGGCTGGCTCCTCGTCGGGGCGTCGCCGTGGCTCTGTGAAGAAGAAGGAGCCCGTATCACCACCGCGTCGGGCCCCCGTGCTGCCCGCGTTCTCCATCGCGCCCACGGCCGCCGGCGAGCGCGACCAGCACTACATCGAGACGGTCGTATGCCGCCACTATTGGGAGACAAGGACGCCGCTACCCTGGAGCGACGTCCACCTCCCCAATAACTGGCACTTGTCGGTCGACCGCGTGCTGATACTGCCGGTCCCGCTGAGCGGCCGTGCGCGCCACCAGGAGATCAAGCGTCGCCGCCGCCTCCTTCCGGACGACCTCTACTACGACGAGAGGTACGCCCCTGACTCGCCCCTGTGGGACACTTGGTTCCGGGATGAGCACGACATGCGGCGGGAGTCCTTCTTCGCCGGCATGTCAACGGGGCCGCGTTGGCCACGTGAGCACCGAGCGGCTGCTCCCCAGGCGCGCGGGCATACGCGGGTGCGCGGCCTCACGCCCACGCCGCCGCCGCCATCTCCATTGCCACCACCACCTCCTCGCATGACATCGAAGGAGGAGGCCCGTCTCATGACGCGTGTCATGGAGGACTCCATGCACACGCACGACGAGTGCCAATGGGAGGGCCTCGAGAAGATGACGGCCTTCTCCGCGGGCGGCGATGTCGCCATCCTCGAGCTGGAGATGGTGGTGAAGGAGGAGGTGATGGAGGATCTGCCGGTGGCCGCGTTCCACCCGGGCCTGGTGGGCCAGGGGTGGAGCTGGGCGTGCACGGCAGAGCAGATGGCGGCCGCCGTGAGGGGCGTGAACTGGTGCCCCACGCCGCCGCGGTCATCGGAGCGGGACGCCTCGCCACGGGAGGAGGTGGTGCAGGCACCTGCCACCTTCCAGCCCGCCTTCCCCGTGCACCACGGACTGCCGGCCTACCTCTGGACGCCGCCGGACTACGTCGGCCTCGTCAGCGACGACGATGACACCGGCGGCCACTGAAGACGGCGACGGCCATGGCATCGACGGGCGCGGCAAGGAGCGCACCGACGGCGTTTTTTTCGTTTTTATGTTAATTATGCTACCGGGCCGTTAAGTGAACCGTGAAATTAGGCCGTTTTGTGGCCATGACCTTTTAAATTATGTTTTAAGTTTTTTAACTGTATTTATTTATTTTTTAAGTCATTTTATTTTAGTTTTCTGTTTTTTATCACGTCCAACATAGACATGATTTCGGGTGCGGTCGCGCGTTGTGTGCACCCACGACCCAACGGATAAAGACGAACATGGATGAATTCATTGCCGCCCCAAAGAGACAATATCTGGCCAAACCGGACATCCGTTTGAGGTCGTGCGGTGGAGTTGGCGTAACTTCGGAATAAAGATCGTGCGACGCTTACCCCGCAAAAAAAAAAGATCGTGCGACGCAGAGAGTAGGAAGCACCGTGACGGCTCACGGCTCGCGAGGCTCCAAAGTCTGACCACGACGCCAAGCACGACACAAATCCGAACAAATTGCAGAAACTTCCACCGCAACTCCCGAACTTTGGTCCGCCATGTCCTCTTGCGTCTCCTCCTCCCATCACCACTGCGCCCGCCGCCTCCCCGCCCCGCCGCCCCGGGCGCACCTCGCCGCAGCCGACTCGTGCGCGTCCCCTTACCGCAGACGCGTCGGTTCCCTGAGGGCAATGGGAGCCGAGGCGCCCTCGAGCGTGGCGCCGGCGGCGGGTAGGAAGGCTTCGGCGGTGCAGGCGGAGATGGTGGAGGCGGCGGCCATGTGGTGCGCCATGCACGGACTCGTCGTCGGCGACCGCGGCAACCCGGTACGTCCGGCTTCTCACCCGCTAGTTCCTTCCCCGCCCCAAAGTTTGCTGCCTCTTTTGACTCATTTCAGGAGTCCAGGGTTTGAGAATGCAACGCGTATCTCCGCATACTTGACCATAAATTCCGTGATAGAAGAACTAGTACTTTTTAGAGTCTTTTCATTCAACCTGCACATCTCCGTAGAATGAACAAATACGCAAGTCTCCTAGAATGTCTGTCCTTTGTTTGGGGCTGCCCCTGCTCCATTTTCAACAAGTTTGCATTGTTTGGCCAGTAGGACTTGCCCTCGATATGGAACAAGTGCGTACAAAAATCAGGGGCAGAGCCAAGAATTAGGCAGGGAAATGTGGAAAGCGAAAAACAACCAAGGATCACCATGATGTTAGGTGTTTCTGTCTGAAGATCCTTTGTATGAGAAAGTGGAGTATAAATTAAATCACAGAAGTTGAATTAATTGGACACTAGGTGTTGCTGCCGAAGACCCTCTGTGTGAAATATTGGGATATAAAGCGCGAAAATTCGTGTTGGAGTCAATTGATCATCATGAACAGAACATCACGTTTGGTTGTGTCCTCTCCCTTTTTGTGGCAAGCCCTTTTTATGTGACAAGCCCAACATTGAGACATGCTCTTATTCTGTTCACGCTCAAATGCCACAAGACGTGCCGGTATCTTCGTTCATGCATCGCCTAGCTTTGCTCAAGTGCTATTTGAATTGAGAAATAACTCTAGTTGTAAACCAGCATCTTTGTGGAATTAGCAGCTAACATAGTATCAACCCCTTGCAGAGATCTGGAACAGTCCCAGGTGTTGGTTTGGTTCATGCTCCATTTTCGCTACTTCCAACACGTTTTCCAGCATCTTTTTGGAAGCAAGCATGTGAACTGGCTCCTATTTTCAATGAGCTTGTGGATCGTGTGAGCTTGGATGGGAAGTTCTTGCAAGGTTCTTTGTCTAGGCAAGCTCCAAATTCCATTTGACTTTTCTTTTGTATGTTGGTGTGTGGATCTAGAACTTCGTTTTAAACTTTCATGAAGTGGATTAGAGTTTTGACTGGTCCATATCATAAGAAGGCTGCTGCCTTGAGACCTTAAGCTTTTGGAACAGTTTGTTGTCTGTTAGCCTGATCATGGACATGACCAGTCCATTTTTATTATTACTTTAAATAAATAAATGCCAGTTAGGTATTTATTTTGTTTTCAGATGGCAAGGAACTTCCAAATCAATAGCGTTTTTTTTTTCAGAACAAAGCAGGTTGACGATTTCACTGCTAGGTTGTTAGAAATTCATGCAAAGATGATGGCAGTAAACAAGAAGGAGGTAATTAACTGCGTGTGTTGGTAATTTCTTATTCAGAATTCAGAGAAAGCATCTTTTAAGTGGTGCTTCTTAACAATATGTTTGTCAGTCCTGTTAGTAAGGTACTGACAAGTGCTTAATGAACCATCAGGATATCCGCTTAGGGTTGCATCGATCTGACTACATGCTTGATTCTGAAACAAATTCTCTTCTTCAAATTGAGCTCAACACCATCTCAACATCATTTCCTGGTCTAGGCTCTCTTGTGAGCGAACTTCACAGGTGAACTTTTTCGTGATATCCTGCAGACTTGCACTCCTTTGACGGAATCATTTTGTGTTTTGTCCCTGTTTGGTAGTCCCTTAGAAACATAAGATGAGATGTCTCATTGAACATATTGCATGCTCACATGTTTCTGAATCCAACTGTAGATAGCATTCTTGTTGACCATTATGTTATCCCTTTAGAATATTGGAGCACAAGGTGAATGCTGTAAATAGTAAAACTCAAGTCAATTGGCTTGCTTAACATAGCTACGTACCTAACGGGAATGTATCTGGTGCACCCGTACTTGTGGTGCTACCGGTGCACTGGATGCAATAGAATATTTTTTTTAAATCTGAAAAAATTCTAGCATGTTAATGCAATATCAATGTATGATGTCACAAAATTTCGTATAAAAATTTTAGATATTTTTTCAGATACAAAAATGACAAATTAGACATCAGTGTGATAATGGGCCAAATCTAAAGCCCAAGTTATGTTATGTACTATTTAATGTTGATTTTGTCATTTTTGTTTTTCGAGTTATGTTTCAAATTTTAACTTAAAATTTTGTGACAACCTACATTGATGTTGTGTGAGTGTGCTAAATTTTTTCAGAATTTTTTGAATATTTTAAAAGCACAATGTGAGTTGGGTGCACCGGTAGCACCACAAGCTCCGGTGCACCAGATATTTTCCCCGTACCTACAAGAACGTGAGAGGTATCCTATTCAACATTTTGGAAGCCCCGATTTTATCTATGTGGTATGTGGTATAAACTGGGTCTCTTTAAACATGTCTGATGCATGAGTTAACTATATGTTTATATCAGTGAGTGGGAAATCAGGCACGATGACATTCTCAATCAGTACCAGTATTCATCTTATCTTGAAATGGCCGAAAGGTTTCCTCATTTTGATCTCCAAGAGTAAACCTAAATACCTGATAAGTGCTATTATCTTGTAAAGTACAGGACCTTACTTAATCAATATGGTGAAGTCTTAGGTCTTGATTCTGAAAGGATTCCTCGGAACTGGGCAGCCATTCAATTTGCTGAAGCATTGGGCAAAGCATGGGTTGAGTATAATAATGGAAGGTCTACAGTTTACCTACATAGTTTGTGTTTATTTTATTGAGAACATTTGGAAAGGCAAACATGACCTGACATGTTTTTCCCCTCTTGGTTGCCCAGCGCTGTAGTTATGATGATTGTTCAAGCTGAAGAAAGAAATATGTACGACCAGTACTGGCTCATCAATCATTTGAAAGAATCATATCCTTTTGTTATGTACTATCTCTTCCTTTTTGTTGCAAACCTCTGAAACGACAAAACATCAAAATATCCTTTCAAGTTAACGTTTTTGCTCATACAGTTTTCTAATCTATTGACGCTTGTTTAGTTTCTCATGAATTATAGTTCACGTAAACAATACAAACTTCCTATTGTGCTGTTGAATTGCTTGTTCACTTTAATTATCAACAAGTCATCTGATTGATACCACAATAAACTGCATCAAGATGAGACTTTTCTTAACTGTCTATAACGCATGGTGTGATGACCATTAGGAAAACTTTGGCACAGGTGGAGGCCGAAGGACTAGTGCTTCCGGATGGAACACTTGTGGTGTATGTATCTTGTATGACATGAAGAGAGACCTACCTTTTGCTATTATCACTTAAATTTAAATTTGCCAAAAATGCAGAGATGGACGACCTGTTGCTGTTGTGTATTTCAGAGCTGGGTATGCACCGACTGATTACCCTTCAGAAGTGGTATGTGCTAGTACTACATTTGTTTAGCAAACACCCTTTCACAGTTGAAGCTAATTCCTATCTCATAAATTGATTGAAGATAAAGTTTCAATGAGGAACATTTCATTCATAATCATATGTTTGTTTAAGGAAACTTCTTTTGTTTGTGTATTTCATTGTAGGTTTTGTAAAGCTGATGTTCTTCTTATATGTTGGTGCAAGTTTTCACCTTGGCACGTTCTTCTTATATTGATTTCAGGAATGGAGTGCAAGGCTTTTGATTGAACAATCATCTGCTATTAAGTGCCCTTCAATATCCTACCATTTAGTCGGAACCAAAAAGATCCAGCAAGAGCTAGCAAAACCTAGTGTTCTTGAAAGGTGATGAAAGTTTTGTCCGCTACAGATGGGCGTTTATATGTATTTTTGTTATTCCTATGATGTGCATATTGCATTACAGATATAGTCATAAGACTCGGTGGTAGTACGTCATATTAAACTCCCCTACAGTTCTAACTTTCAGAAGCATATTCCTAATCACTATTTGATCTTATTTATACGTAGGTTCCTTGACAACGAGGAAGACATTGCCAAGCTATGTAAATGCTTCGCAGGGTTATGGAGCTTGGACAATGAAGAAATAGTGAAATCAGCAATAGAAAAACCTGACTTGTTTGTCCTGAAACCTCAACGAGAAGGTGGAGGTAATTTCTTTGGCACTTAATAGAACCCTTTCCACAAAAGTTCCCCACAAATTGTTTTGATCCTGATATCTCTCTCCAGGGAACAACTTGTATGGTCATGATTTGCGAGAAACACTGATCAGACTAAAGAACAAACAGGGAGAGGCGCTTGCGGCCTACATTTTGATGCAGCGGATTTTTCCAAGAGCTTCTCTTACTCAGCTTGTCCAGGGCGGTGTCTGCTTTGAGGAACTTTCAATCTCTGAGCTTGGAATATTCGGATCCTACCTGCGGTAGTTAATCCTTTGGTGGCTCTAAATTCTTTTGCTTTGCATATGTACCTTCCATTTTATTTTTCTGAGTAAATCATACAATTTTCATTGGCTAACTGCAGGAACAAAGATAAGGTAGTCATTAATAACCAATGTGGTTACTTGATGCGCACCAAAGTTTCTTCATCAAACGAAGGCGGAGTTGCTGCAGGATTTGCTGTTCTGGACAGCATTCTCCTCACAGATGAGGTGATTATTGTGGTGTAGAAGCTATTTACTATTGATCTCAATTTTTCAAGTGTCCGAAACCTACCGGTTTCCTTCCAGTAAAGGTAGTTTGTGTAGTCTCTTGTCAAATCCAATCCGTCTTTAAAAAAATGATGTTCCCTCATCAGTCACTTGAACTTGTTTACTGTTTTACCGGAACATTCTAGCATGATTACTGTTTTACTTCGCATTTGGTTTTATTTTGTTTTCGAAACTTGAATCTCATCTGTCCTCCATGTTGCCTTTCTTTCAGTGAGATAGGAAGGTGGCAGGGTAACAACTTACAAGTCACCGGTGACAGCACACATCGGATGAGGAACTGAAGTTACAGACAGTTGGATGAATGTTGGAACTCTCATATCCGCATTCCAGTCCCTTCCGTCTGCAGGCATAGGATAGATTAGTCATGTTCATGTATTTAGTAGTACCAAGTGGGAACTAGGTCTGGGGACAAATCATCATAATTGTTTCACTGAACAACACTGGCGGAGCTAGGAAGAAAGTCTAGGGGGGCAAATGGTAAAACTGGCATACCTGAGGGGGCCAAATACTAAATTTATACTCATCTAAACCCTCTAAAAAAATTCCTTCACACTTTTTGCTTAGGCTGGGGGGCCACAGCACCCCAGGAGCACACATAGCTCCGCCACTGCTGAACAATAAATGTATCTTCCGAACGACGATCGGAAACTCGCAACAGACCCGAACGTAGGGGATGCCGTTCATTTTGAGATCGCATGGTGCGCGTGTTGGCGGTTTAGTCCACGTATGACGTGACGTGATGATGTGAGGTCGTGGGCCATGCCCTTTTTTACTCGGGCTGTCCATCTCTGGGTTTTTCTTTTCTGGTGCCCATCTCTCGATCCGCTTCTCCCGCACCTCATGGTAGATAACGAGACAATTGCATGTTTAGTCCTGGTACTTGCAGGCGATGTCTAACATAGTCCTCATAATCATAAAGTGCTTCAATACAGTCCTCGTACATGTAAATACAGTGTCTATACGGTCCTAGAGATTGTGGCATCGGTCCTGGCTATACGCCTCACTTACGTACCCAGTATGCATCCACTGCCACGTGAGCACGGACTGAGTCAAACGACTGGTAACTTTGTATTTGGCCCCATCGAAAAGACTTGGTATTAGATTAGTAACAGCGGGGAGTAATTTAGAGTAGTAACATGCATATGTTACTAGTCTATATTATTACCTTCACAGTGGGTAGTAACATATATGTTGTGTCATGCATGACTTTATTTATTGTGTTGTAGACTCATCTTTTCTTGATATGTGTGATGTTACAGTAACTAGCTATGTTACCACATGACTCTCTTTCTTTATTAATTACATGCCACATCTCCTATTTTTGCCTAGATAAGTGTGATGTTATCACTTATGTTACTCCCACTGTGGATAGTCTTAGTATGTGCCCTTCATCCCTTTCATTCTCCACGAACAGAAACCCCAGCCCGACCTCAGCAGAAACCCCAGCGGTGGCGGCGGATGATCGGGGACCCGGCAACATTCCGATCGTAGTGCAGCTGGTGGTGGACGGGAGTGGGATGAACCAGCGACCCCGGATGGTGGTTTGAGGCAGTGATGAAGGGCCCGCCGACGTACAATACGTGCCGTCACATTAAACTTCAATTTTGGTCAAATTGTTGTACTACTAGTTGGATTTGGACATTTGGGACGAATTATGTCATTGTGATACATTGATTTGACGGAATTAGGGTCGCATTATGCTAGGGTTTGGGTTCTGTCCAGCCAAAAGTCTGAATTTTTTCTGTGTGCTCTGTTTTGCAGCGGCTCATAGTGATTTCTTCATTGTGGAGATCATCCATGGAGGATTTTTCTCTAGAAGTGGGCAGAATAGGTCCTACTTGGATGGCAAAAAAAATCTGCTATGACTACTGTCACTTAGAGTTTGCGTACTATAAAATGTTTGAAGCTTTAATCGAGGACATTGGTTGAGAAGGAAGGCAGAATTGATATGTATTGGTTGCCCCCTGGCTGTCAACTTAATGAAGATGGTGCAAGGCATTTGTCCAATGATGCAGACATAGATCTGATGTATCTACAGGTCAATCAAGAGCATAGATTTCATATCATTTACCTTGATCATTTGGATGGCCACATTTCAGGAGGTGGATCAGCATGGGGTGATGTTACGGCTAATCCAATATGTCATTTGCCTGTTGTTTTCAGTCCCAACAAGAAGCTAATCAATGCAGATCAGAGCATGGTATCTTCTAGTGTTGTTGAGGAAAGCAATGAAATTCAGAGCAATGAACAAGTGCATGTCAGGTTGAGACCTAGAGGACAGAAGTTAGAAGATGAGCCAGAAGAATATAGTGATAGTGATTCAGACAGTGATTACATACCAGAAATTGTTGACAGTGACTACGACTTAGAGGATGGGGATGATGATTTGGCACAGGAGCAGTTGCACCCTTTGCAAGACAAGAAAGGGAAGAAAGTGATTGAAGAGTGCAACTCTGAAGATGATACATTGGATGCTCCGGATTCAGATGAAGATGAGATAAAATTCAATTTCAAGTCTTTCACACCATCAGACATGCATGACCCCAAGTTCCATGTTGGGCAGTTGTTCTCATCAGTTGAGCTCTTGAGGAAGGCTATTAGAGAGTACACTTGCAAGGAAAGGGTGAATATTACATTTCCAAAGAACGATAAAGGGAGGCTTGGTGCAAAGTGTGAGAAGGGATGCCCTTGGTACCTGTATGCATCTTGGGACAATAGGACAAATGCAATCATGGTGAAGACATTCAATGGTGAGCACAATTGCGAGAAGAAGTGGCAAGTTACAGCATTTACTGCCAGGTACATTGCTAAAAAGTACGTCGACAAAATCAGGGCGTTTGTGAGCGAGGAGGTTGTCATGCCGGCTGTTGTATTGGTCACCGTTGAGACGCGTTGCGGCAAGCCGCCGTTGGAGGTGCTGCGGTCGGAGGTGTGCCCGTTGAGACGTGTTGCAACGTTGCGGTGTGCTGCCGTTAGAGTGCATGGACCAGCCCTTGATTGCATTTTCAGTCCTGGACATTTGGTCTATGATTGCTAGTTAATGTAGTGTAGTTTGTTTAGTCGACAAAATAAGATAACTGTGGTAGGTAACCTTCCTCAAAAATAAAAAACTGTGGTAGGTAACCACATGGCCTAGACTGAGCTCGTGTTTACAAATAGGCTAGGTAATGTTTTGTACATGTATGTAACGCTGATTGAAAAGTAAACCTTCTTTCTTTTCCTTTTTCTACACCGATTTTTTTCTTACCATTTTCTTTTTTCTTTTTTTCTTTTCTAGTCTCGATGACTCATCTACTCTGTTAGTATGGTTATATATGCACTGTCTAGCGAATAATTTAGGTACAAACATCATGATAACTTTTTGCCCAGAATACACAACTAGGTGACTTCAATATAAATAGCATGGCAATATACGCACAACAGATCAGATAACTTAGACACATACAACGCGATAACTTTGACTTGGGAAAAATTGTCAAAAACATACACTGGCAACTTCTGTATAAAATAACATGGTAATATGCACATAGTTACCTGGTAGCTTAGGCACAAACCACGATAATTTTTACCTGAAAAAAAAATGTTGAAGACTCACCCGCTATAACTTCTGTATAAATACCATGGTATAATATACGCACAACAGACCTGATAACTTGCGTACAAACATCGTGATAACTTTGAACAAAGGAAAAAAGGTTGTTGAAGGCGTAACCTCAGTTACTTTTGTGTAAGTATCATGGTAGTATAAGCACTACAGACCTGATAACTTAGGTACAAACATCATGGTAACTTCTATTTGGGGAAAAATTGTTGAACACACATTGACGATAACTTATGTGTTAATAGCATGGTAGGAAGTACTGGTGGGATGTTGAGAAAGGGAAAAGAAAAATGGCGTGGTTGAGTTGGGATAGAATGATGCTACCAAAATATAAGGGTGGTATGGGGTTCCGTGACATGCGAGCGTTCAATCAGGCTCTCCTCGTCAATCAAGCTTGGAGATTGTTGGATACTCCAGATAGTCTTTGTGCAAGGTTGATGCGGGCAAAATACTATCCTAATGGTAATTTGTTGGATACGGCGTTCACAAGAAATTCATCGGTGGTGTGGAAAGGTATTGAGCATCGGTTGGAGCTTCTTAAGCGAGGTGTTATATGGAGAGTTGGTGATGGTGCCTTAATTAAAACATGGCAAGATCCTTCGATTTCAAGAGGCCCATCCTTCTGCCTGTGACACCAAAACGTAATTGTTGGCTAAATCATGTAGCTGATTTTCTAGACAAATATGGAGCATAGAATGTTCAACTTTTAAATGAACACTTCTGGGCGCATAGCTGTGTGCCATGGTCTTAAACTTTTGAAGAAGGGTTTGGTTTGGCGTATAGCTAATGGACAGAAAGTATGCATTTGGCGTGATCGCTGGCTAGTCGATCACACTTCACCATGCATGACCTGGAGAGTCGGAAACTGCCGCCGAATGGAATCTCACGACACCGAATGCAACCGAAGAGTAATGTTCCACCGTCACAACAGTTGCACTTCTTGTTGGACTTGAAAATCGACAACCATCACCAAATGTTTGCCTTGAGCACTATGCAAGGCAACGAGTGTTGGTGTGAAAACCGGAAGATCTCGGGTAGGGGTCCAAAGCTGTGTATCATGGATCGATGGGTAACAGGAGACAGGGGACACGAAGTTTACCCGGGTTCGGGCCCTCTTGATGGAGGTAAAACCCTATGTCCTGCTCTTGTTTATATTGATGGAGTATCAAGTACAGAGTTGATCTACCTCGAGATCATATGTTCTGGTCTAAAACCTAAGGGTTTGATGAATAATATCATAACCATCTATTAACTAGCCTGGCCTCGGCTTATATTGTTGGGGAACGTAGTAATTCCAAAAAAATTCCTACGCACACGCAAGATCATGGTGATGCATAGCAACGAGAGGGGAGAGTGTTGTCTACGTAACCTCGTAGACCGGCAATGGAAGCGTTGACACAACATAGAGGAAGTAGTCGTACGTCTTCCCGATCCGACCGATCCAAGTAGCGAACGTATGGCACCTCCGAGTTCTGCACATGTTCAACTCGGTGATGTCCCTCGAGCTCCGATCCAGCCGAGTGTTGAGGGAGTTTCGTCAGCACGACGGCGTGATGACGGTGATGATGTTCTACCGACGCAGGGCTTCGCCTAAGCACCGCTACGATATGACC